TTTCTTGTAATTAGAGTAGCTTTGGGAATATTAAAGTGTCTGGCTGCGGCATTGACCCCCATTGTTTTTGTATCTGTAGCCTCTACAGCATTTTTGAAATCCTCTTCGGTCCATCTAGCTCTTAGTGAGCTCAACTTCCGTTGGTATTTTGAAGGCATTGTATAAAACAGAAAAATAAAAACCGGTTCAACTGTCCCGATTTACTCTGGTCCATCTATCCCAAATTTCAGGGATAGACGGACCACCCAAAAACAAAAAATCTATGTATTAATCGGCTTTTACATCATTTACGTTGTCCAGAATGGATACCATTCAATGCATTTTTAACCACAAATCGCATTTTAAAACTTTCTTTTAGTTGGAATCGCACCTTCAAAATACCGTTAAAAAAATATCTACCATGTGTAAATGGAGAAACAAATAAAGCTACTCCCGAAAATTAACTACACACAAAGCTACTATCGGAGTGCAACTGGTAGTCGTTTGTTGGCGGGGTAGCTTTGAAATATTCTTCCTATACCATGTACAGTCGAAAATACCCGACTGGTCCATCTCAGGCGGTGGTTCATCTCTCCCGGAATTACCCTAACTGCTTTAAAAGGTTATAAGATTGTCAAAATTTCGCATAAAACTTGTTATAAAGATCATGCGGATATGAAGCTTGTGGGATGGTTTCTGCAATGGTAGTCCTGTTCGTACACCTGAGGAGTATCGAAGCAAAATTTCGCTTTCTGGGTCGAAACTACTCGAATGCCCTCACTCATGTTGTAATATGTATAACTTAATTTTCAATTATCTATCCAACGGTGCCAAAACGGTTTCCGTGGGTCATATGGTTCTTGAGAAACTTTGAAAAAAGCAGCGCAATGTTTAGGTCGATTTTGCAACTAAAAAAAAACGCAAATCTAAAACTTCTTGAAATCAAGACTTTTTTGTCTTGAAAACTGCCAACATTTTCTTATCGATAGTTTAGTTTCTAAAAAGGTCATTTAGTTCTCTCTGGAATGATGTAAAAAATGGGCGTTCTTGCTTATTTCGCTTCCAAGAAATGAGCAAGAACGGGACGAAAAACATGAATTTTTGGCATAATCTTGCACCTAAGAGCCTAATATTAAAATTTCGCTTTTTGGATCAAAACTACTCGAATTTTCAATTCTCTAACCGAAGATGCCAAAATGAATTATGTTGCTCAAATGGGGCTTGAGAAACTTTGAAAAAAGCATCGTTATGTTTGAGTCGATTTTGCAACGCAAGACCAAGACCATGTCCTGCAAGACCAAGACTCGCAAGAGTCTTACGGTAGTCTCGCAAGTCCATCCGTTCTTATTAATATTATATTTT